AGAGACTTTCCAGGAGGTCTTGAGCAACGGGTGTCCTTGTAGGGGAAACCGGTTAGTCCCCAAAATGCTGTAATTGGATGAAACAGGATTGAGACCCTCATTATATGACAAACGGGTCTTCGTGAGGAAAGTCTAGGTATAATGGGGGGGTCAAATCGTGTATTTGTATTTAGAAAAGGAGCGTTGTGTGCATGAACAGAGACCTAAAAATGAATGCTTTGGTTATTTATATAGTGTGCGAAACTTGATAAAAGTCTCGCTATTTTCAGAAATATTGTACTAAAACAATTTTTTTGCATATTTATATTGAGACGGCCAGCTTAACGCGTTCTTGTCATCCCATGTTACTTAACGGTTCCTCCTTCTGTCGTTGGCCTTAAATTTTATTAAACCGATGCTTCTATAGGTAATTGGAAAGTCTGGTTTAGTGACCGAAAATATGCGTGTATTTATATAATTGATGATGGTTCTCAACTTTTTCTACTTCTATTACAAATTATGCTATTCGCGTTTGGTTAGGACTTCTACTTTGCAGCGTAATTCAGCTGCTTATAAGTCTGTGACATTCGACTGGTAGCATTCGTGTAAAAAAATTGTGCATAAAATGATTTGGAAATCAACTTATTTAAATGTCCGGCCAAGTATGACAAGTGAAACGTTTCTCTTATGTAAGTTAGACTTGTGAGGAAGATTATAAACATCGTATTAGATTACTTACATCGGTAGTAGAAAGATTTCAATTCTATAACTTGATTTTTGCCTGCTGTCTTTGAGGTGCATAGATGACCAAGGAAGGGTGAATTGCGTGAGCATAATTATACACCTGTTATTAAGCGTATTATATAAAGTTTTCGAGGATAGGTTTTATCTGAGATGGATTTACCTAATCCCCTTTAAGACGGTAACAGATGAGTTCTGGAGATTTCAAGAAAGCTCTTTCGTAGGACTTCTCTTTCGCAAGGATTGTAAGTTCTGGCGTATATTCCCTTCGAACCTATTAAAATTGTTGCGATGATCTTCAGAGAGCTTGATTAAACTGTGCTCTTTTCTACTACAACAACGCTGTGAATTAATCATTTATTTAACAATAATATAAGATGATATTTGACTTATGGAATAGCTTGGTAGTAAAATCTTCGACAAACTCACATAACCCATCGTGTTTAATTATTTGCACGCCAGTCCTAAAAAAAGGTTAATTTCATCACACCTCTGCTCTACTAATCGCTGTTGTTCAGTCATTTCATTTAATATAGAGACAGTTGGTTGGTGCATTGTCAGGCAAATTTACTGATATATGCATTTAACAGCACTGGAGTTTAACTCATAACTCAACCCAAGGAGCGTATTTTTTCGCTTTTTAGTTCACGGAGGTTTATTTACAATGCGATTAGCAGCAATGATTTTCTCAACAACTTGGAGCACAGTCAGATTGAGGAGATAGTCTTGTGTATGTACGAGAAGCGCGTCAGCAAAGGCTGCTACATAATACGCGAGGGCGAGCCAGGAGACGCCCTCTACGTCACTGCAGGTGGGTTCGCCATCCCCCGCTACCCATCAATCCTTCTCATATCACTAGTGCACCCCAATTTTTAGCTCATCTCTCTGAAACCGTGGATTTAAGATGCTCTTCCTCAATGTTACAAATTCGTCAGCATGAAATATTTGTCAAAATGCACTTTGTTAATTTGTATATTCCACTTTGTCACAGCTTGCCTTCTTCATTAACTCTAACTAAAACAAAATAGGTAATGTACTCTGCCGATTTTTTTGGGTCGTGCCGACATTCACCAATTCGTGCCCATGAAAACCATTTCATCTTGAAGTTTTGTTAAGTTCCTGACTTCTCACCCTCTGTTGAGTATTTAATGAAATTTAGTAAGTTATTGTGTTAACCGCATAATGAAATCGTGGTGTCACGAGTATCTTTTTACGGACATGCAATTAAAGACACACATTTCGAATATATGTCTCAAAAGACGCATTATATGCTTGAAGCATCAGTTTGGTTAGCACGGTTTTTGAATTTACAAGATATGCATTTCGTGGGTCAAAGACAGTAGCTTTTTGTGGGCTTTACCTTTTGCACATGCAATTTGTTTTCAAACCCTAGAATAGTAGGAAATCAACATCTCTTTGTACTAGTCTTTATTTAGATGCCGGTGTCTTCAACTACACCTATTGTGTGTTTTAAATCTTCCTAATTCAACTTTTATAATTATTGGGTTTAAGAGAACTCTTATCCATGGGGCCAAAAAGTCTCCACTTAATTTATGGTTTTCAGCCAGCTCTCAAGAATGACTAGACCCTTCAGCCTAATTGAGAGTTACACGCGTTTTATATTCGTTGCCTTAATTAGAAATTAGAATCTCTTGCTGTTACATTTTAATTTTTTGGATAACTATGCCTACCATTAGTTTTGACCGCCTCATTCCTTCACCTGAAGTCCACGTTTTGCTTTGAGGACTATAGATTAATTAGTAGTCGAATTGACTGTTTTGGGTAGTTTACTTCCAGAACCCAAAGCACTAATTTTGAAATTTTATGTAATTTTAGTCCATATTACGGCAAGAACTGAAAATCGTAAGCACTTATAGCGATTCAGCTACCAACGTGGTTACTATCTAGTATCCAGGTGTAAAATCTGCATCTAAGGACGCACAATCCAAATTACGAGAACAAAGTAAAATCAAATCGGTGAAACGCAATTTCACGGAAATCGAATTCTGAACGTAGTGTCTTGGGGTCCGTAGCCTACAGCTCAACTACCAAAGCAAGCGTATTGATCGCAATTAACAGCATATCTCAGTTACCACTTATGTTGCCAAACCATTCTATAACCTTCCGCAAAAGTTTTGGCGTGAATGACATAGGATTGTACACCACCTGGATGACCGCAGGAGTTCGCAGAAGACAGTTTAATGTTTCTGAACATACATATCATAATATCAGAAAATCGCCTTCAAAAACAGTATTTGTTTAATTGCACCGTTAGAATATCCGAACAAAATAGCTATTCGATTATTTCTTCAGAAACAGCATTAACGCCATTTGTAATTTCGAGGCCGCCTGATATAAATGAGTGGATGTTCACTACCCGTGTATTTCGAATAATAAAGCGTAGTCATAATATTGGCGAACGTCAATCGTTCAGGCTGTCATTACAAACCCCGAATTCGGTAAGTTGCCATGGCCAATGGCCATCCAGATTACGCGACTCATACACTTCTCAAACTTGGACGCCTATCCTGCTACTTTAAAGGGATGTTTATGACCAAAAATTACCTTTTGATTAGGTCAGTTTAAAGAACCCTAAGGATAAAACTTCAAAATGAAATAGTGCGATCAATAAACAGTACAGAAATTCTAATCTTCCGAGTTAGATTTTTCGCCAACTCTGAACTCCGTTGTCTTATCACCACCGACTTAAACTGAGGAGGATCTTCTCTTTTGGTCTCAAAGCGCGATTCTATGATGCAGCATCTGAAATAAAGCCGTCGTCCCTGGCTGCTTTTTTCTTCAATTGTACTTTCACCTCTTCGAAATTCTTGTTTGTCAGGCTTATGTTTTACTAAATTAAGATCGTGCCATTGTGTTTGGAGGAAATAAAGTACAAAAGGCGTCATTGTGGCTGCTTCCTAAATATGTGATGAAAAAATCAACATCGGTGATAGAATCGAGCAACAACTACTATAATGCTCCTAAACTGATCACCATGGTTTTTATAAATGGTTCATAAAACGTCCTCATACCATTTCGATATCAAACTTTATCTTAATCAAAATTTCAAGCCGATTTATGTCAAGTCATTATCTTGATTTAACTGGTTTTAGGCCTAAACATGTAGACCTACATCTTATGTCTTTCTAAATGGCTTTTAAAACCCGAAAATCATCCCAGTCGATTCACAAATGTTAAGGGTAAGCCTTTAGAAATCTGTATGCTCGAAATCTCTGCAGTCGAAGGTTACATAAGCACTGGACTTTAACGTGTTTAATTACGGATGATTATTTTGCATTAAACCATTCTCTTCTCATCCACTTCGTTGTCTATGGCTGATGGCGGCTTTTCATACACAAGTTTTGGTCCACGCCGTAATTTGAATGTATTTTTGTTGCTTAAATATTTCTTAGTATGTTTTGGGTTTAGTTAGAGGCCGGTCCACTCGCCGACACATTTATCCAAAAAGTTGTTTGTTATGGGTTTTAGCACACCTGGGTGGTGCCAAATCACTAAATGCTAAAACGTTTTGCGTTTGCAGGATGTAACTTTTATATAAACATCTATGGAACTAGGATCAAGCAGTAAATAAAGTGCAGTGAAACACTCTTGAAAGTAAATATGTGTTGGTCACTGACCGCCGCAGGCTGACTTTAATCTCGTGGAACACTTTTTTTTGTTTCGTCTGACTTTAGCTCCGCATGGCGGTCAGTGCCTTGTCTGTGAGGTGCCTCATTTCTGCGAAGTGGCACGACCTTGAAGCACACAGGAACTAAGTTGACCCTTGACGCTTGTTCAGTGCCTTAGTTCTTTTACCCTCATGACCACTTTCCTGTGAGTGTTCTTGGGGACATCAATTAAAGGGAAATGAGCTAGGACGCGGCGGTTGCTGTTCTTGTTTTTTTTAAATTACCCATGTGAGTCTGTGTGGTAAGAAACATTACCCAGTGTCTGATTTATGCTATCCACAGAAGCCCAACCCCGTGTCCTAATTCAAAATCTGCACACCATGGATGTTTTGTCCATTGTCAGCATCAAGTATGCTCTCGCTCATTTGACTTGGATAAATTTGGTGACGGGCTTCGAGCATTAGAATTTTAATTGACCTCACGGGATATCAATCAACTTGTCAATATTCGACTTTAATGCCTCTCAGACACAGTACTTGTTAGCTGCCAACAAATGAAATACCCCGTTTTGAAACGGGCGCCCAAGTTAGAGCCACCGCCTCTGGGTTGCCCGCTTACGTGTGGTTTTGTATTCGGTTGCAAGTAGGCTCGTGCTTCGTGATTTATTACGTCAAATTACGCTTTTAAACAAGCTCTGGGTAGACGTTAGTCCGTTGTAATGCGAGTAAATATGCCTTAGTGTTTTTTTCATAAGTTTTCAGTTCTTCTTCATCAGTGCTCTTTTTGGCACAACTTTGACTTACGTCTACACTTACTCTAAAGATGAATGTAAATATTGCCTCTAACAAATGATTCAATTTTGTAAATTAAAACCAATCCAACCGAACCCCAATTTTACTGAAGCTGTAAGGACTCATTGTGGTTTAGCAGTCATTCTCAATGTTTACATGCACACAACCCTTCATGATAAACACTTTGGGCTTCCTTCACGAACAAATACCTTTTACAGTGAATCCTTTTAAGGCGCTCCAGTTACCGATTTTTTTTCTATTTCTGCTGACTCCATTGTGCATCCTCTTAAATTCTTTGACGAAAACAGACAGTTATTCTCGGGCTTCTTCCCTTTTCACTATTTTACCCATAACATGAGTATTATCTTGTTACTATTCCCTTTTCTTCACCTCCCGCAAATATTACTTAATGACGAGTTCTGTCAAAAGTATATACATTAAAACTGGATTAGGAATGCGGATCTACCATGTTTTTTTTTAAACCAGCAAGGTAAGTACTGGACCGAATCTATATCAAATAATTTACCGAAAATGGGTCATCAAGGTACTAGCTTGACTCTTGTGTATCGCGACTTTTCAAGATTAAATACGCGTGCATTCTTTAGCCCTAGAATACAATTCCGAGGGCTAGTGTGTTTATGAGCGGCTCAATCAGACGCAATTTTGCCCCACATCAGTTTGGTTGTTCCCGTGTTCGATTTGTGCTTTTAAACGCACCAGTTCGCATCATTCCTGTTGCACTGTCACAGGTTCGTTTTATTCAAATGCCCTTTAACAGCATCCTTCGCCTTGCGGACAAGGTCAGAGTGTCGTTTTTTCAAAGTTGACGCATTTTCGTGGTGCACCCCCGAAGTCCCAGGACGCATCGACTTCTTTTATTTGGTATTGACATGCTTTTTGGGAAATCGTAAGAACCCCATTGTTGAGGTGCGTGGGCATTGTAAGGATGGCCTGACAAGACAAACCTCTATTTCACTGCAGAGGCTTACCTGTTAGCTGTTGCTCCTGCTGTTTTTTATACCTTACCGAAGCGATGGAGTTTTGCTGTCGCTGTGCTAGATTTTGCACGCATGCAAGTCAAAGCAGAGGTAGGTAAGTAACTTTTCTGCATGTATGACATGCTAGCTGTCGAAATTACGGGTTTTTACTGGCAAGGAAGTCCCGCAAAGTTGATTGGGTTCATTTGAAAGCCACGAAAATTCTCTTTGCGTTGACGGTTTGAGAGCCTTCACACGCACACACTCCATGTGAAATGCCTTGTTCCAACCGTGGCGTTTATGGTTAGCTTGCTAACCGCCGTGTTATTTTTGTTTTAGAAGGGATCGTAGAGGTACTAAAAGGTGATCGAGTTATTGGGCAAATGGAAGTTGGCCGAGCATTCGGTGAGATGGCCCTCCTCTACAACTGTAATCGAACTGCCTCTGTCAGGGGTACGTACTGGAATGTTATATTCGATCGATTTTATGCTTGACAGATCGTCGATATATGTTGTAAACAAAGTGACCGCAATCAATCGTTTTAAATTATGATCGAAAAATCTATTACTGACCAGATGACTATAATTGTTTTCTTAAAAGAAATTGCTTGAAAAAAAAAGTTACCGCGACACCCTGGTGAGCATAGGTTGTCTCTGTCGTTTAATTACTACTTAGTCAGAACTATCAGGCCCTTCATTTGCACTTCATTTCTGACATTGACAATTAAATATTTCAGTCCAGGTTTGGCGTTTAAGGGTGTTTTAGTATGTGGTCGATTAATTACGGGGACTGTGCGAAGAGGAACGCAAGCTAAGCACGATTTTACAAAGCGGCTGTTCGGACTGGCAAAGGAAGTTGAAAGATTGCACTGAGGAAAGTATTACCCAATGCTTATTGATTGGAATCAAAATTGGCATTTTTAATGCATCTTTCATGTTAACACAGCCCTCACAAATGCCAAATTCTGGACTCTTGACCGACGGGTCTATCAACAAATAATGATGAACTCCTCCCTCCACAAGCACAAGGAAAATCTCCAATTCCTTATGAGGTCAGTCTATGTACACGAAGGTTTTTACATTATCAAACCGATTGTTTTGAAAAGAGTTTAGGTACACCTGAAGGGCCTTTTCTCCGCTGTGTGGATCGCGTAATTTGGGGGCTACTTATGCCCAGAACTTGCTATAAAGTGATTTTGTAGCAATTACATTTCTGTTTCCCTCTTCACGCTCAGTCAGTCAGAAGGTTCAGTAAGCATGTTGATTCGTGGTTTAGTGCCAGAATGTTTCTACTTTAAAGATATGGGGGTCGCATCTGAACGCTTAAATCATAACCGCAGTTCATCTAGCAGCATCCGTGTGTTTGCACAAAATAGCAATCATACTGTGGAAATGGTTTTATTCCTATCTCAGTGAGTCTAAAATTAACTCATACGACTTACTTTAAATTTAGTGTTTCGGATTTCAAGAATCTATCTCAACGAAAGCTCCATAAGCTTGCAGACGTGCTAGAATTGGTAGGTATGGTCGTTGTGTATACATTTTTGCTCAATTTATTAACAAAATTACAAATTTATCCAGTCACAATTTTTTTTTATAAAATTGTTCCAAGCTGCTACAATTGGATGTTGCAGAATAAGTCTATGCTTGGGCAGTTGCGGATGTGGCTGTGACATCGAGCGAATTCGATGCCAAGCAGCGGTGTTCCGTGACGTTTCTTTGACCAGTGAAGGTTAATGGCCAATTTCGCCAATCTTTAAAAGGCGCCTATTTTGCCGTTTTAGATTTACTACCCTGGAAACGAATACATAATTCGTCAGGGCGAGGTCGGAGAGACGTTTTTCATTATTCACTCCGGTCAGGTATGCGTCTCTGCATCGTCCTCCTTTCCTTTGCGAATATTTCCCAACCCCATCACTCCCCTTGCCTTGGTTGTTCGATCACGCTTTGCCGTGCGCCCGCATCGCGCACTCGCAGCACTTGTGCACTACCGCAGTATTCAGCATTTCGGTGCTTAAGTTCAACACAACGCGCATTTTCATCACTGCGATGAGCCGCGAGCACGACTCCCCAGCAGGCACTTGCTCGAATGAGAATCGCTGTGACAAACATGACTTTTTGGTTCACACATCTCTGGACTAATCAGTTTAATTTACCACTGCTGCATCGTCTAATAAATGCGTTGTCATAAGTGATTCAGAAAACAGGGGCCTTTGTAATTCTGATTCCATTGCTAGTTCTGATCAAAATAATCAAATTGACTATGTCTGAGAAATACCTTATTTGCCAGTTAAAAAAATCATTGCTTATTTACATGAGGTTAGAAGGTTTCAACGTCATAGTTTGTTCACATATTTATCAATGGCAACAACTAATCAGACTGTGACGTTAATAAAGCTTTATTGTGTAACATCTCAAGTTCTATCATTCACTTTTAAGTCAAATTTGCACAAACAAAGCAACAAATAATCTTGTTAAAAGAATCTGTGAACTATTCTTTTCCAGTCTTCATGATAAGCGAATAAATTGCTTGATGTGTTCATCTTGCTACATTTGAAATGGTTGCTGTTTTCCGATTTTTTGAAACCGCACCACCCAGTGCTTATTCACTTGGCTTCCCTCATGACGGTTTTGGCTGTTCCATTGCACGCATTGTGTACCAATTGAAATTTGGTATATCTATACTTCATTGGGCGGCCAAAGTGCTACAGCATTATGGCCCTTGTCATGGTATTATTGCCTTTTATTCGCAAAGAGGTATTAAACACATACTTTGCGAACGTGCCTTTTTTTACTTCACACTCAAATTTAGGTGAAAATTACGCAGTCGAAATATCCAGGCGAACCGCCACAAGAGATTCGCGTTCTCGGCTCCGGTGACTGGTTCGGTGAACGAGCACTCTACACGTAAGTTCGCCCCTACAACTATACCGCATCTCCAAGACTAATCAGGCTGTTTTCGTGAGATGGAGGCTAATGCTCTAGAAAATGAGTGGCTCAGTGACTGTTAGACACTGAATATTCCTTTCGTTTTTCCGCAATACTATTTAATGTAGGAAGGTTTCCACATAAACCCTTCTGTTCCATGCTTTTGTGGATTTCCCATCGATTTCCACATAAGTTATGGCCACGGATGCTCTGGCGTCATCCTTTAGTCCTCTTTTTTCGTAGAACACCCAGTTTGTTCGCTTTATCCGCATATTTCTGCTCTTCGACGTTAACCGTCTTCCCTCAGCCAGGCTAGCAGTATGTTTACATTGTGTGAAGTCAAGCAGACCATCGTTGAAACAGAAAGCCAATGTTTGCAGTTGCTTTTATGGTGGCATAGTTAACTGGGATAGAACCAATCCCTGCAGACATTCTGTTTTTCGTGTTCATAATCTGATGGCGTGAATAATGTTGCATTTTAGGCGAGATAAACGGAGTGCCAACGTGGTCGCTTTGCCCCCAGGCGTTCACGTGCTTTGTCTCGATCGGAGGTAAGTGCACCTTCGGATGAAAGGATTCTCTTGAATGGTTCTTTTACGTTCACCGTGCACCCGGCTACCCTAAATGTTCCTTTCGGTGCGTCAATATGTGAACAACCTGTTTTGGATTAATCGCACTATCACCTAGCTCTTTAAACCGATACACGCCACATGAATGAAAAATCAATGTGTAGCAGAGTTGCCTTCATCCGTCTTGGCTCGTAGCGATTCTTCTAATAAGAAAGTCTCTAGAAGATATCACGATAATTGAAATGGTCAATTTTAACAGGATATTTCAGGTCAGATTCACAACTTAGAAGTCATCCTGTTTGCATTTTGTTGGTATGAATGTTGTGTTAGTAGCTATTAAAAAAGTAGACCACAGTAAACTGTAGTTACACGGACTTTGGGTGACATTTTTTCGAGTTGAGAATGCATAATCTGTTTTGCGCAGACCCATTGACCAACAATCTTATTGTGTTTTTTAGTAATTTCATTCACCTTATCGGGGATTTAAGTGAAATCAAGTCGAAGGAGTACGGCGACTTCAGTCGAGGAGTTCCCAGGTACATTTTGTGCTGACGTAAAACTGCTCTACACAAATTGTTATCGGTCTGTTTGCGCTTAATTATCTCGATAATGAATGTTAGTGAACACGTTTTTAGTCTTTTTTCAGCTTTTTTTCTATTTCCATACTTTTCGACTCGGATAACGACAATTGTGTGCTTTGCGTTTACATTTGTCAAACCATGGTGTTCCGTGTAGTTCACATATAGCACATAATTCTGAAGGTAGGGGCACATGGTCTTTCCGTGGTCTCTTATTATTAATGCTACAATAAATTGGCATTTTTTCCTGCAAGGAGGCTTGCATCTCTGTGTTAGTCAATTCTTTAATTAGGAACATTTGCTTATTGCCTAGCCTTTATGTTTATCTGCTCAGCTGCTTCAAGGAATTCGTATTGCCTGAGATTAAGCACTCGCATACACTTAACATTATGAGCAATGTAATTTTTATCCATTTTTGCCTAAAAACGAGGTAAGTCTAATTGTACTACTTCTTAAGTTGTACAATACACAGCTATTGTCTCTGGTCTACAAGAACAAAAATCGCAATCAGGTCAAATAGTATCACGGACAAATTTTCGTTAGTACTGATACTGATTTTATCGTGTGGCGATAGCTTTATTTCAGCTACTTAATTTAAACAACTTGGATTTCTCCCCTAATTGTATTATCCCCTCTTAAAAGTGACCATGAGGCGCCATGTCAATTGGCTCTGGAATGGCCCTCAGCTTTGAGCGAAAACATGTTACATGTTAAGAGTCTCCACATGTTTAAATTCGCACTTGATCATAATGAATCTGGCAGCTGCGGAGCCAGAAACACCTGTTTATTGTTCAATTACCCCCCACGTTTGGTGAAAGTGTTTTCTATCCCGTAATTTTTAGTAAATGCTTCCATTTAATCTCTAGTTGTTTGGCAGATTTTGGTCCGATATAACGATTGCCAGGTCAGGTCGGTGATTGGCGTCGCTAAACAATTTTTGGGGATTCCCCTAGGAGGTCGGTGGGGTGGGGTGGTGCGCTTGGTAGAAACGCTACAACCTGCCATCATGTGTACAGGGCAAATCGAGTAACATCCACCAAACATGTCGATTCCAAATATGCAAGGCAAACGAAAGTGGCAGTTAATGTTGCAACCGCCGTTGTAAGAAAGTCCGTGCAAAGGACACTAAGCGGAACGATGGTTTAAAGGAATTATGATTTCGACCAAAGTCATCATACGTTTTCTTTAAACGACTTTTCGTATAGTAAATAAAAATAGTTCTCCTTTTAAAATATTTTCTTTAGTGATCAGTGCTGAATGCTATTGCGACAAACTCCACTGGGTAAAGTAAACCCTGTGATTTCAGACTGGCTTTTTGTCACATTTCAATAAACCACACGACCTTCTTTTTATGTCCATTAGAAGTCAATAAGAGGTTAACGCTGTTGTCAGGCGAAAAAGAACGTATAGAATGTAATTTTGCCCGCCAATTTTTCGCACTATTCATGGAAGGGCTAGATCCTAAAATAATAATCAAATTTAGAGTGATTTTGTTGTCCGAAGCAGTTGTTCGGTTCACACTGGAAGTAACACAACTTGCCACAGAACTGTGGGGATGGCGTTCTGTTAGAGTTTCTTACCTGAGGATTCTTGATAATATACCAACCAAGTTAGTCTTCGCAATAAACACTTTTTAGGGCGTAATTTTCTTGATCCATAATGGCTCATGCCATTTCCTACGTTATGTGGGCTTTTCATTTCACTTGATTCTCTTTTCGGAAGTGATCCTTAGTGATCTTAAATAAAGTATCGGTAAATACATGCTGGTAGTTGTACGTAAGGGGGAAATTTTGTATCCATGGCCAACCTTGAATTCCGAGTAATGCATTTCTGACCACGTGTCATCAGGATTTGGCCACCGAAGCACCCACAAGGCATAGTTTTTATATGAGTTGGATTTGTTCAATTTATCTGATGGGTAGTGGCTAGCTTTTCAATGTCAGGCATGCTTTTGTCATGATGTGTTAATGTCCATTCAGCCACTCGCCAGCTACCGACGTAGAAGACTTCTGCTCTGAGGACAAGCGCCATTCAAACGCTTCACAAATCTGTGTTGACGATGACCCGGCAGCGGCCGCCGGTGGATACCCAGTGTCACTCCCCGCACCCCCCGTGGTCTTCAAAAGTGGCACGGCGGTCGTCGATGGACAGGCGTCCATCGCTGGTGCCCACACACACTTTGCGGGGCGACAGGCCATCCAATACGAAGATCTTGTGTCTGTGGCTATTCTCGGTATTGGTGGTTTCGGTCGCGTTGAACTGGTGAGCCACGTGCCTGTGTAAATGAGTTCTGTGGCTGTAGATTTGTCCGATCCTCAACCTAATTTAAAGACTTAAATGACAATGTCAAATTCGGCTTAGTCGGGAATATCGAAAAACGTAACCGCACAGTAGAGACTAGCCGTAACCCATTGATGAGGCCGCAAATTTGTTCCCTTTTGAGAGGTAAAATTTGAAATAGACCCACTGATAATCGGAATCAGGTATTTCAAAGTTTGATCGTAAAACACATGCTTAGGACAGGTTGGATTAATTCAGTAGTAATATTTAATCAAGCTGCGCAATTCTCTATATCTTTTCACATATAACCATGTCATTACGAGGCTTTAGACGTGTCTGGTTCCAGGTTCGTGTAGCTGTAAGTTATTTCTCGGTTTTAATTGACTCGATGGGTTACGAGTCCCCGCAGTATTACTTGACGGCGACATAAATTTGGCATGCTTTTGGGTAAGTACCTTTGAATTTTCTGCACTTGGTTATAAGTGCTGCATTTCGGCCATTGGAAGGTCATTATTGTGTTTACTTTTCCAACGAATGATTGCTATATGCGTTGGCAAAACACTTCCGCCGCATACAACATTTCGAGGCTCATTTTAGTCATAAAAAGAGGCTATCGATGGTCTCAAAGGCACTTAAAATCACCTGAAAACCAAAAATCTGATTCCTGCTGGTTAAGGGTACCAAGTAGTCAAATATCCCATTTTAGTTTACTGTCTCGTTATGCAATTGTTCGCACCTCCGCTTTTTATGTTTTGCTGCGCTTCGTTGCCACATAGCTTTTGTAAAAAGTATATTTTGTTTCCGAACCCCCTTCTATTTCCGTTGATTTGTGCACTATTTTAGGTAATTCTATGCTTAAGCCCAGTCATGATAGTGAATCTACAGCAGTTGGATTACTTAAACTTACATTTCGACAACGAAAATTTCGGTATTACTGATTTGATCCTTTGCTATGAAATAATGCAAAACGTGTAAACAGTACCGTAGTTAATTATTTTCGCAATGCTACACACCTACTGATTTACGAATCGCCTTGGATTTGGCAGGGAATCTTGTTTAATTTCTTTGATGTACTTTATCGTCGACACGGCAGTGGTCATGTACTGATCCCTAAGTACTTTTAGCTTCCTGAACTAGTAATTCAGGGAAAAACGCAAATCCTAAAACCTGATTCTGTGGTTGATGTTCAACTCGATCCTTTCACCCGTAAGCCGCATATGCAAAGGCTCGGCATTTGAAACACCCTTTTCTCATATTTGGTATTTCTAACTTCCACTTAAGCACACCAGCACTACATTAGTTGATTGAATTACACCCCTGGCACTTGCATCGTACAATTTTCAAATTCATAGTTTAGTTGTTTGAAAATGTGACCATATTTTCCTTTTATTCACGATTGACAGACTCGAAGCTGACCCTGGTAAATCATCTTAAGGTAATTCACCACTGGGAATCCTATTTTTTAACAAGTGCCATTCCACGGCCTAACGTTGGAGGAAGTCTGTTTTCGACACCCGAAGTATTATCGGGTTTCCAAATTTTTTGACACACTTGGTGCTTTATTTTGGGCGTGATTTAACCGTGCCGATATTGCAGCTGCACACAAGACGCTCAGTCTAGGCTTCTACACGAGCACTCACAGGGCTGTAAAGCAATTCCGTTCTGATTTTCGTCTGGTAGTAAATTGCCTTGGGAAGTTACTAAATTATACGAGACCCACGTTTTTATAAATTTCCGATCGGCATGTAGAAAAACTGGTCATGCAATGCAAACTAAAATTGTTTTATTAATGTATATGATGTGCTAGTTTAACCTACAGAAAGCGGTTCCAGGTGTCGCTAGAGAAAATCTAGATGTCAAAATGTATTTGCTGGAAAACCTTTCGTGACAAATGTGGATAATTTAAGTGTCTCGATTTATAGTGTTGTGACACGAAACGATACGAAGCGTCCGGAGAAGAAAGAATACGAGGGATTGAGGAGGGACTCAATCGGTTGCCAGATAGCCCAACCCTGTCGTGTCGGTCGCGTTGTGCGCTCAAGGTCGTGTATTCTCACTAATCGCGAACACATCTCTGAAGGGCATGACAGATGACAATTGTTGACCAATAGGATTCTGTTGAACTGGCAAATGTATAAGCACCTGGACGTGTGGCAGGGGCGGTTCGCGCACTGGGAAGCGCGGTCAGACCCACGAGCTACAGCGGCTGTGGGTGTCTGAGTATGTGGCGATAGCTTTAGTGGCCGTGAGTCATCACGTGTCACTAAAACGCCAATTGCCACGTGATGGCATGTGAAATCGACACGACGCTCGATGGTAGCCTCGTTACGGTTTCAGGATGTTTGTATAAGATTAAAGTAATCAAATACCTCGATACATGGGTGGCGCACCATCAGAGACAATCTCGCCTGCAATTTACTATTTGTATTTCCAGAATATATTGACTTCAACTCAGAATGGTTTGCTCTTTGTGTTGAGGGATTGGGAGGATATCGTGAAGAACAGGAGGCAATGGTTTGTTATACATTTAAACTACATACACCTACTCTTATTGAAAACTTCCTGTCGTGTCTGTTGAAGGCGTCTTGTTAAGGATATAAGCCTTGCTCAAGTGCCAAAACGATTGCTTGGTAAAACGAGAATTACCCACTTTTAGATTCAATTTTTTTGTATAAGAAACCGACATAAACACGTATGGGCGTGTTCGGGTCACTGTTGCATGCGCCATGTCGAATGCGCACTTGATCTCTGCGCCACCGATTGGCGGCGTCTCTTGCCAAACGCTGCCCTGCTTTTACTTATTGAGTGTCACGTGATAGCGGGCATGGGTATATTACATTAGTGTGCAGCCAACACTAATTGTTCCGTCCATTTCATTGAGTCGTTTTGTGCTGACATAGATGCCTTCTCCGTATTTTAATAGTAAATAGACTTTTTTAAATTCATTGATAAAAACTGACATTTTATTTTAGGTTGTGTTGAAACATGACCAGAATAAATCCTTCGCATTGAAATGCATGAAGAAGCAGCATATTGTCGAGACGCGGCAACAAGACCATATTTTCTCTGAGCGAAATCTCATGTTCGAAATAAGATCGCCCTTCGTTTGTCGGTCAGTTCCTAAAGGTTGTGCATTTTTTTTTCTACCACCTCAGATTCTCCTAGAAGCGATTGTGTGTTAAATACACCATGTGACATTTTGCCATAGTAAATAATTCAGGATTCAAGTCTGAGTCTGTATTGTGTATTTTTCCCCATTCATTCCTACTCTTTACGTGGTTCTTATGATGGATTTTTTGATATCATTCACTGCGTGATGTTCGCGCCAATCAAATATTCAAGTTTAGTAGGAATTCTAAAGAATTTAAGTAACCTAAGGAAGCGATTTGTATTTTATGGTTGGCATCAACTTACTTTGGATTTGCCTCGTCATTGTTATTTTGAATTTTCAAATATTAAAAGGAATTAATTAGAGGAAACGCAATGGTGTCACGTCCGGAATCTGTTTGGTACATTTTTCACTGGATGTATGCAACAATGACAGAGTTAACAGAGTCAAAGTGTTAATTATTTTTGTGCAGTGTACGAGTTCTAATGCATCCACGCTTAACTTCGTCGTGTTGTATCATGAAGACCACCATCTGAAGTTTGCAAAATGTGTTATTCTGTGTGCTTAAGGTAATTAACCACCCACATAGATCTTTTTAATTAGCTTGAATTCGTTTGTAATTGTAATCATTCTATTGGAGCAGTAGGATCTTTTATTTTAAGTATATTGATAAACGTATTTGGAGGCTGATTTTCCAAATACAGTTTACTTTAGGAAAATTCTTTATTTACGTGTGTTTATTCGTTAGATAACATAGAGTCTGCTCTACTTATCTGAGCATTTAAACAAGTAAATTTAGCAAATCATCAGATTTCAGTACATCTGAGCGTGAAGCCTCACGGGACTACATAGTTTGTAACAGCGTTTCTTTATATTTATTCCGCATCTCGGAAAAAGAGCGCCTAATCTGTTAAGTCAATTTTCTGTTTATTTACTGCGACTTTACCTGATTTATGGTCTGTTTGTTTTTATTATTTAAAATACACAAACACAAAAACCTTTTTCGTAGTTTTATTGTAAGAGGTCCAAAAGATTCATAATAATTGATGGGTCAAAGTAGGTTGGTTTGCACTTAGCGCTTTATTCACCGCGGAGCAAGCACATTTTAATTATGCTATGGCTTCGGTCAAGCCAATATGTCTATTATGGCGCATTTTTCGTAATGATGAAATTATCTTTCTTTTGCATAACAAAATCCCGAATGAAAAGTTCTATGTAAAACAGCCCAAGTCAACCGTCCACCTTCAATAACGTCCAATGTCGTTAAATTAGCCATGAATCTGTTGTACTACTTTGCTTATCAGAAGCCTATTTCATAGTGTTGTGTTTAATTTAAATATTGTAGCACTTCTACTCTGATATCGTATACTGTTAATTGAATCATAATAATATATTGGAATGATATCATAGATCTTGAAGTGCCTTAGAGCATTTAATAATTTTTTTTTGTTCTAAAAGGTTGTATGCCACTTACCGGGACAACAAATATGTGTACATGCTTTTGGAAGCTTGCCTCGGTGGCGAAATCTGGACCATACTTCGAAATCGGTAAACTATCCTTTACATTTTTAATGTTTAGTTGATTACTGTGTGCTCCATGACATCGTCATTGACCACTTGACTGGTTCCTAAGCGAGTATCCAGTGCGATGCCGTCGTAAACTAACTTAACTTTTCTAGTAATTCGTATTTTTAATGCCGAGTTTTGTATCACACAGCGCTTCATTGCTTGTAGTATTTCCCTTTCAATAAACGGTATTTCAGGTGACAGAATAAAGTCGTTGAATGAGATAGAGTTCATTTCGCTTAAGAACATGTGCACATGTCGACGCCTGTTGACCCCCATTAAATTATCACGATCTTTTGGTATGGGTGAGTAAGGAATATACTTTCTAAAACTTACGCTGTTTAATTTAACAAATTTTAGTTTAGCTCTTTGAAACGGATATTTTTTATTACTAAATATGGAGTCTTTCAGCCTACATCCCCATAGACAAATAGAATAAGTAGGCTCAATATTTTGCAGCATTCCAAAGAATTATGGTTAGCGCGTTCTGCAAAAAGTTCTGGTGTGCATAAAGAGTCCCTTTGAATCAATCACAAACTTCACTCGTAGTTCCACTTGTTGTTTAAGGCAACACAGAATGCACAGATTTAGCCTTAGATTTAATACGTTTCAAGGGTATTTAGTGGTCAGAGAAAAATGCTGGGATCAATTAAGTCATCTAAATGTCTGAAGTCTATTTGGACGTGCTGACTCATCATTGTTAGATGATTAAGCGCTTGAATGGAATTTCGTCGCAACTTCCCAAGTATTTTGAATAACCACTTGAATGCCCATCAAGTAGGGATTTCTCATTGTGAAATTGTAGGAACTGCCATGGGGTTGGGATTTTTAGAATGAATTGCTTCCACACTCCTAAATATCGATCCAATACTTTTCACGTGAATCATTGGCCACATTAAGACTAGTGTCTTAACTGTCGCAATCTTCTTGATTTAAAACTCACGGGAATCGATTTCAGCCATGGAGCTTTTTGTGGTGCTTAATTGTTCCATACAGTGGTAAAATTACTTAAGAAACTGTTTCATTAAAATGGTCAGCCGTTGCAAATTGATTACAGGTATTTATACAGCCGTCATATTTTGATGTTGCCATGACGTCCCACATTGACTGAACTTTGATTTCGAAGGCGCATGCTAGGGAGTTATTACTAAGCTGTAGCTAAAATTTATAACTTCTGCACTGTTGCAATTTAAAAAAAAAGACTGAATCGTGATATTGGGTTTACAAAGCAATATCGCTTGGCTAATGCATATTCTGGCGCGACAAAGATGACTACCACTCCAATTTTGACATTAGTACGCAACGTCTAATGCGTTGATGGTGATGCTAACACATGGCTGCGAATTCGGCAAATGTGGGTGACTTAAGTGATGCTTATATGGTGTGCCACAGCATTCAACCACCTCCTTTTCATTTAAATAAGTATTATGTGCCAACCTTAATGACCGCGTTCGATACTATCCGATATAAAGTGCCTTGATTTGAGTTGTTCATTCGCCTTTTAGAGGAAACTTTGACGATACTATCACGCGTTTTATTGTGGCCAGCGTACTCGAAGCATTTACATACCTTCACACCAACCACATCATTTACCGTGACTTGAAACCAGAAAATCTTCTTCTTGACGAACGGGGATATATTAAACTAGTAAGATATACTTATATGTATGCATATACATTGTCAGGCAGAAGTCATTAAGTGTTGTAAAAAATAAAGACGATTATATGTGATAAGGGTTTTGCTTGGTGGACAGTCTTTAAAATATGCCGCATTTCTGAAAAACTGGTAGGCTGGCACTGCCCACACTCTACTTTGGCCACATTGGGATAAAAAGATAAAGTGTTCTGGACTTAATCTAAAAATGCAGCTATTCCGCTGGAAATTATATTTGCATGTGGTTATGTAATTTATTGCAAATTACTAGTTGGTTATTGGTTACGTTTCAGATTTAGAATGGTCTAATGCTTACCATGCTATTCCTTCTTGCTCACTGATATGTTTCAGTTGAAAAACTTTATTAAGAGTTATTGGTTTAATAGCTTCCTACTAAGTGTATGCAGCATCGCTGACTCTGTTAAGGAATTTCCGACAATGTCGCTTTGTGGCAGAATGAAGTGCCATGCTACTTAGGTCATTAGACGTAGGCTAGAGACACCCTTGCAGCAGGCTACGTCGGTTAGACACAAACTCATGCGACGTCACATACAGTATCACAGAAGAACAATTACAGAAATGTTTCACCTTACACGTGGCGAAGTGTTGAGTGTCTCACTAGCACTGAAAGGAAAGGCAAGCTTACATTTTCAAAAATTTCGGAGCCTATTAGATCCTCTTGTATTTGGGTAATGATGCGCCGAATATAAATTAACAGACATTCTGTACTTATCTTGTTCTTAAGCTACCATCTCATAGGTTACCTTACCCGTCTCACATGTGGCCATTGTCAATTTGTTACACTGCCGGTCTAAAACTTCTTTACGCCTTTTGATTTCTGTGGTCTTCGTATAAAGAATGATTGTACCCTTCACTTTTTTTTATCAAGGTGCCTCCTTTTGCAGGCCCTTTAAGTCTTTTGCAGGTACCCATGGAGTCAAATGTATAATTTTTATTAAATTCTCTCATTTTATAAAAAAATTTTCAATGGATGCAAGTGTTATCAATCTTATTAACACAAAATTTTGAGACCTTCATTGTATCATGAAGGTTTAATTGTATGTGAAGTCGATGTTTTCACAAAATTAAAGTTTGTTTTGCAGGATGGCACAAACCACGCACCTTTGTTGTTACCTTTTTGGTCTAATTGTTGGACTGGGGCATTTTTCGTGCCACTCCAGCTTAGTTGTGTAGTTTCAGCATTGATTATAGAAATTAGTTAGTGGATTTTCACATTGATGGTCTAATTTTATATCGTGTGGTATAAGTAGCCATTTCTGAAGGGCTACCGACTACTGTCACAGCACGATTCTGTGATTTAATTATCCTTTTGTCAACTCTGTTCTGCCAATATCGATGATGATGTTAATTGCCAATGGGTGACGTACACTCTTTTGGCATGGGGCATGTGCTCCGTGGGCGGTATTGCGATATTCAGATTGTTATAAACAATCTCATGCCATATTTTTAGCCGTTTTACCATTTTTTTCACCCGAAATTGGTTTTTTCCATACTTTGTGATCCTTCGCACATTTACTGCTAATTCTTATAGTAATGCCATAAGCACCACGAGGGTGCCAAGGTCGTTTGACAACACATAAAGATAATGTGCGAGATTTGGTATGTTTTGTTCCACTCGCTAGGGCAGTAAGTGCCATAGTGTTTTGCGATATCCTTCATGAGAACGTTAGAATTCATTGACAATTCAATTCAAATTGTGAAAATTCACAAATCCCGCTTGGTTAATATTCTTATATGGAGGCTTTTTTTTAATGCCAATGCTTTCTGTGAATTCAGTGTTGTTATGTTTTCAATGTGTACCTACTTAAGCGGTAGTCTTCAAAAATTTTCCTTAAAGAGCTTTCCTGCTGACGATTTTGCATTATGTAATTCGCATTATCAGTTTCTCTGTCCATCCATTGGTCCAATTTATGCATTAATTTTCGGTTTGTTTTTAAATTTATGTGTTAGTACTGTAGGTATATTTGATTTCGGAGTTCGAATTACAAATTTCTTGGTAATGTGTCAAATCTTATTCCTTTTGCAAGTGTGATTTTGGTTTCGCAAAGAAGATAACTCCAGGGAAGAAGACCTGGACATTTTGTGGAACTCCGGAATATGTTGCTCCTGAGATCATTCTCAACAAAGGACATGACCACTCTTCCGACTATTGGTCTCTCGGAATCCTAATGTTTGAACTCCTTACCGGAAGGTGGGTTTTTCAAGTATATTAATGTGTTAAAATTCTACTTTTGGAATTAGTATCGCCATTAGGACTTTGTTTTAATTCAATTAAAGGCGATTTCAGTCTTCTTTAAGACTTAGCTACCATGTTAATGTCTCAAAAAAAGCATTTTAATTCTGCCACCTGACCCGTTGTAATATGTGTCGGAGGACCTACATACAATACATGTTTCTTGTCCTAATTGTTTCGAAATTGCCAGTTATAGTTTTTTTGTCAAAAATTTGACTGTGGTGACTCTGAGATACAAACCAAAGCTAGGAGCTTAAGTTTTATACATTAGCATTTTAGGATGACAGTAGCTACAAAGTAAATGAGGTTAGAAGTCAGTACCAATTTTTGACGTCTCAACTGGCTTTCCAGTACTGAGTCACACTAACATCCGCGCTACAAGCCCACTGAAATGTCGAAAACATCTGGAGCACGATTCTGTGTAATCCTCTAATCCCTCATAATTTTCGTCGGCTTAAAACTACACAAATGCAGATGGGCCATCAATGTCCGTTGCACAGTTATTTGCATGGAGTAATGTTTAACCCACGTTTGAACCATTCGACGAAATTCGCCTTGTTAATGATGCCCAATTAAGCACATACCAGTACCCTGTATTCCGACGCCAATCTGCGACCCTGCTGGTTTCTAATCACTACGTGTAAACTTGGAGACCTTTTTGTCTGGCAGCCGCATGTCTTATAACCCGCCCTCCACAAATAATGATGGTGTGTATTGGTCTCCAATTCAGTGACGATTTTTGTAACTTATCTCACACAAAACACCTCGCTGTTTTAGTGTTCAATGTTTCTAAAGTACATTCCTTGCTCAGTCCTATTCAAAACCAAACTATTTGCAATACTTTCGCCAAATGCTGACTCCCAAATGCTTACATCAGGAAAGTAAATATGTATTATCCATTTTTCATTATAAATGTTTTAGACAGCATTTAAAAATTATTTCTCTTATCATAGTTTTGGCAATCACATTAACTACTTTATTCAAATCAATTTCATTGGAAATTATATTCACGAGTATTTTTTCTAGTAAGAACTTCCTCTATTTAAAAAAAAATAAATCTTACATGTTGGCATAACTTTTGCATCAACGCAATGAAAGCGAATTTTTTGTAGAGAATTTTCTAACCCAGTGTTTTGTGTGATAGACTAGCATACGTGCCGACGTCTTTGTTCAAAAAATATCGGGAAAACACTTTCGCCAAAACATCAAATAAACGTTTTTTGTGTCGACAATTTTGTGCGCCATCTGATCCGAAATTAAAACGAGGACCACGGGACTACCCAGCTTTCCACGTCCCGCGTCCAGTGGGTATTCGCAGTCGCATAGTTTAGTTGCATTTACACTGGCACATTGGTAAGTGAATGTTACCCAAAGAAACGCGTGGTTAACTTTCTACATTTATTACACATGGACGTGATTTTGTTCCCTTGATGGAGAAGTGCCATTCATTGTAGGCGCTGGGTCAATAGTGTAGTGTCAATATTGTCTTCATCAATAGATTTACATATAACAACTTTAACGCACATTATTTTGATGATTCTTCCACCTTATGGATTATCCAGATTTGGTTGAATGTATTGGTCACCGTCGGTGAGTCATGCTGCGTAGGCTTCTCATTAGACCAAATTATTTGCATGCTAATTTTTTTAATACTGATACGTTCGTAGTCCCCATTTTCGTGCTTTATATAATTGGCACAAAGGGTCGAATGCGGCGCAAAAAGGCCTCATGTATTTGTTTCCTATCCTTCCCCCTTGTACCTTCTGGGATTCTGGTTGATAGTTATTCAGCCCTTACTTCTAATTGGTCTTAGTGCTTTTGTTCTTATTTACCTTTTTGTGGATATTTTACTGTCAGCATATTCGCCTCGAATATGTGTTCTATCAGAAAACGGGTTCATTTGGTAACCAATTGATTCTGCTTGACCGAAGTCAAGGTAATCTTCAACATCCAGAAGCCTCACCCCAACGCCAATGGCCATTTTTGTGTCTTAACTTCTAGCCCACCCTTTACGGGAATGGACCCGATGAAGATATACAATATCATTCTCCGGGGGATCGATGCAATCATGTTTCCCCCATTCCAAATAAACCGGACGGCTACGGCACTCATTCACCGCCTCTGCACTCAAAACCCTGTCGAACGACTCGGCTACGGTCGGGGAGGCATCGTGGACATCAAGCAGCACAAGTAAGTCTAGTTACTTAGCTTGCAGTGGTTCAACATCCTGCTCACAAACTCCACTTTTACATAGTCATAAGCCGTGTTAAGTTTTAACACCAGCGTGTTCTTTTTCATTCTCTCGCAAAAACAGTTGGTCATTTTGTAAAATTTGAATCCAGTTCAGGAACCGTTGGTCGCTAGCGAGTGAGTGCCCCGCATTTAACCCGCTCCTAAAATCACTTGGTAGGCTTGAGATGGACAAGCTGAACTCCGGATGAACCCCATCATGTAAGGAACAGCAGCTGATAACATTTTCTGCCAATCATAAAGATGTTTTGTCAAATTTCATAATGTCGCTTCCTTTTTACAAGCAGACGCATTGAATTATGCTGTTTAAGCATTGAATTCGCCCAATCAACCTATAAGAAGTAGGATTTACATTGTGAAGTAAATAAAGCTTACCATTTTGATTAAAGTTTTACCTTTATTATACTTTCTTACTTATTGAGCTTACACACAGACTTAGTTTTGTCTGTTCGCTTCTCCTGACACCTTACTGTGTTTTCTGAAGAGATCCAAGCCAAACTTAAAAGACTTAAAGATTTGCTTTGCCTCTTTGGAAGAATCAATCGGTTTTCCTTGTTTGGTGTTTCAAGATTGGTTTAGAAAGTACCGAAATGGATGTGTTCAATTGTGTGAAATTCTTCGTAGACAACTGCCACAAGTTTGTCAGGCGATTATTTCATTGCCATTGTTTTGGGGGTTTTAGTTTCCAATCTCCCGTAATCCAGTTGAATGCATTCAATGAAGTGTTTGCACTGGCTATTGCGTGTAATGTTAACATGTGTAGTTTTCTGTTGCATCTAATGACTGTTGCAGTAAAATTTGTCATGTTACACTATTCACTTGCTACAGTTTTTAAGTTGATTTGCCAATCAGGTTAATTCGTTAAAACGCCCAGCTAACAATTGCTAAGCGTAATTTGCCAACCTGAGGTTCTCTAATTTACTTGAATTGTCTTGAAATCGCTAATTTTAACACAGGCCTTAGGGCGTCCCAACACTGATTGCCTTGGGCTGACAGGTTAACCCACTGGGTGGGCAGTGAAAGGTCCTCAACTTCTGTCTTCTTTAACCTTCGTGCTTGAGCCTCACCATCGGTCTAATACTTCGTGTATTCAATGTGGAGTAGAGTCAAGACAGGCACACACACATCAAATCTTGGTAATGTAGCATGCAAACTGGAGCTTGGGGTAATTTTTAGGCTTGTTACCCATGTGTTAGGCAGAATAGCGTGGTTGTTTCTGTGAACTCGTTTGAGAAGTGGTTTCATGTTTGACCCTTTGACCACACTACATCTTCCCTCAAGACGTACTCGAGGCAGGCCTTTTTTTATTATCTTAATTTCATTTTTTATTACTCTTTGTCGTCGAATCGACTTGGAGTTATAGACTGTAGAAATGCTCTAAACACCCAATCGGGAAATGGGTAGAAAATTGTGACCGAAGAAAATTAAGAGAGAGAGAGAGGGAGCTTTGACTTGGTTTGTTGAGAGCAAAACAGTTGCCTGGACTGCGCAGAAACGCCGACTTTCTTCACCCACTCACACCCACTGGGATTGAAACGTTCGCGCACGCCGTGCGCAGCGTGATTAGGCTCTTGCATGAGTCTCATGAAGGTGGACAATGAAGCATTTTAGTCATAAGCAAATTGTGATTGTCACGTGGCAACCATCACTGCCTTTGTGGGCATGGGCAACTAGAACAAATTATAAAAGATGGAATAAATGGATAGAAGTTATTTGTCAATGGGAATCTATTTTTCTCGTCATAAAATGACAATTTTTACAATGCTCTAGTCACCGATAGACTGCAGTGCAGTTTGTTGTTTATATGAGCAGTGCCAAAGAAGACGTCAAATGCAAGTTTTCTTATAAGTTGTTGCAGTTATCAATTCACTTATGCCATGTTTAATTAAAAATTTATATTTTGAAAAACAGGACACCTTAATTTCCCAGTCAGAAAAGTGTTTTCCCACAATCCAAGAATTTTAGGATGTTTTCCACTTTCTATTTATTATGATCATCAACTTTTCGCAGTACTTTGTAAAACTCCTTTAATTATTTACAAAGGCCAATCAAGTTCGTACTAGTTCTACTGTCTAAGACTTCCTGATGAATGGGGAGATTATTTTCACTGTCTACGTCTGTTAAACCAGGTCGAAAACACACGAGTGAAGGCTCTATGGCTAGCGCACGCGTTCTTGTTATTGTTTTGAGAAGGTCCGAGTTGGTGACAATTATTTCGCTAAACTTTGTGACAAAAGTCTTTCTTAAAGCATCTTTGTTGTTGAATTCAGATCCAAACAGAATAGCCGTCGGCATTTTCAATTGTTCCTACCTGCAAGTTGTCTAATTTACGACGTGTCACAATTACATCTCTGTGCCCGTAACACATAAACATCACGTCGAAGGTTACAACGTAAATTGCTCTTTTCTATTTCAGGTATTTTCAGGGATTTGATTGGATCGGGCTGTGTCGAGGCACACTTCAAGCACCAATCGTGCCAAAAGTAGGTTCGATTATGCATTTAATGCCTGCTGAAAAACAGGTGCACGGCCACGTGAATTTTCACTGTCAGAGCTCCCTTCGGAC